ATCACGGGTTTTCCAACATCAAAAACTGAAATTCTGGGCTCGGTATATGAATGACACCTTCGTTGTAATTAAGCGGGATCAGATTTTGACATACAAGGAACGTCTAAGCGCTGTCTTCCCGGACATTCAATTTACGATGGAAGAAGAAAAAAAACAATCAACTCGCCTTCCTGGATGTCCCCGTTTGCCGCAAAGGCGGTGGTGGCGTAAAAACTAAAGTGTTCAGGAAAGCAACCAGCACTATGAAAGTCCTGAACTAAAGCAGCAACCACCCAATCGGTCACAAACGCAGCTACGTAAGAGCGCTATAACGGCGCGTTGAGATGCATTGCAGAGAAGTGGAAGACAAAGTTGCTGAATAACAATAACTTTGAAGGTTACTGAGAGCAAATAGTTACTGCGTGCACGTTTGTCAACCAATGCATACAAACGAGAGAAGAAGCCATATCCAACTGGCCCAAAAGTTTAGCGACCTCTTCTATACGTGAAGAATGTATCGGAAGCGGTCAGCCGCCTACTCACCCCACTTGGAGTTGGGGGTTGCGCACAGGCCAGAAGCAACCATCAGGCACTGGTTCATGAGACAGAAAGACCCACTGGCACGGCAGGAAACGGCTGAGGTCACTTACCGGATCTGACGCAATTGTGCACAAAGAAACTACGTCGAAAAAACCGGAATATAACTCCGAACGCGAATAGCCGAGCATGCAATGGCAGTGAAAAAGAAAGACGCAAACTCCCAGGTTAGAGCTCACTCGACGGGACCCGGCCATAATGTCAAGTTTGACGAGGCCGAAATCCTCGCAAGAGATGACAACCGCGTGAGCTGCAAGCTACTCGAGTCATGGTACTCAGGCCCCACAATCCATCAACAAGCGCAACGATTTGGCATTCCCATATGCTGTACTGAGAAGCTTCCTGAGCTAGAGAATCAGTCACGTAGGCAGGGGGTGGCGCAGCAACAACTCTGACGACAGCGGGCATAATTGTCACGCCATTATCAGGCCCGCATCCGAAGCAGACTAGGCAATTGTGGCAATTAGTGAGTCACACGCGAAGTGTCAAGCCAGTACCGCATCAATTAAGACCTAGGCGGTGGCTAAAGAAGTGAACACACACGCGGATCACCACTACGAACTATAAATACCGTGAAAACGGTGGATGTCTCCACCTCATCTGCGCATGATCATGACTATGTTATCATCACCTATGATTAAGGATACCCGAGGGAATCCGAAACGTCAGGGAAATCAAACTTTTGTTCCAGTGATCGCATCCTCTTTTTCTGAACTGCTTTCTGGAACTCGCATATTCTCTATTGTTGGCAGTGCTCTCAATTCACTTGTACAACAATCTAAAGGTCTTCCGATTAGCAATAATTTACAAGCAGGGTAAGGGATATGTTTGAATGGCGGTCAGGAATAAAATATGCATTCCGAAGTCATATTTTATTTCTCATTGGCGCTTATTTTACCTAACTAGCATATAAGTTTCCCAAAAGCCTAAAAACTACCGTAAAAGCACGCCGCTCACGTCCATTCTAAAATATACTATTTAGCGGCCATAGACTAGTTAGGTATGCACTTTTTACACCCCCATTTATTCTGTCTACGATTTAATTAGGCTGGCGTCTACTGTCTGAGTGCATTCATTCACTCCACCCAAGCAAAACTGTTAGGATGGCCCAGCACGCGTGTCATAACTCGGGCCGTTCTGTGGACAAGAGAACAAAGGAAGCACACATGCCAGCGGGCGCATACAGAACGGACCAAGAGTGCGACCTTCAAAGGGCCGATACGTGAGGACAGAATGACAGCCGCCGGTCGGGGTCTGAGGTAACGCCTGGCCAGGGGCAAAAATC